TTCACCCACTTATTTATTTAATTTTGGCTGAAATGGCTCTCCATAGAGTAGAAGCTGCAATATTTTTAAATGATAAACTGAAAACTGAGCTGTTTATCAGATGTACAGATTTCCTCAACTTCATTTGTCTTCTTTAGTGCCTTTCATTCAAATAGGTAGCTACAGAAGATAAGTAAAACTAGAAAATTAGAGCATCCAAAATACAATTCTTAAATTCCCTGGAAAAGTACCAAAAAAAAAAAAAATTAGAGAAATGTCAGGCTCATAAAGCAGAAATTGATCGCATGAGCTTGATTTATTTAATTATCCTTTCTTCACAAAAAAGAAAACAAGTCCCTGACCTTTATGAAATAAAAAAGAAATCCAGTTTTTGCTTGTGTAAAACCTTCAGAGCAGCTTCTGCTTCCTGAAATCCTCTGCCAATATTTTGATTTATTGACGGTCTCCTATGGAAACATTCCTCTGCAGACATGCTTATCTGATATTCAGATGCGCCATTTGTCACAGTCTTTGGATGAATATTTAGGTCTGCTTCCTCAGAGAATAAGAGTTCAGTGCTGGGGGATTAAATATATATTTTGTGACAGAAGTGCTTATGGGTTGTTCAAGATAGCAGAAGATATTTTCATCTTGGACCTGCAGTGTGAACCTGTTTATTTTTACAGATAAAGTTCTGTGTTGGTTCAGTATGTGTGCAAAAAGTCATAATTTCTAGACTGAGAACAGATAAAAATCAAATTAATGTTTTATTTATTTTACTTTTAAAACCCACAAATGACACATCCAACATAATATACATCAAAATAAGCAAATAAACAGCAGTCAGCAGATAATTTTCCAAAGGAAAAAACAAGCCAAATATAAAGAAACAAAATTTTTACAGCACACTGAACGTATCCAAACAGCTGGATGTGGGATAAATTTAACTGAAGTGAACAATGCCTTTATTATTCTCCAACAATGAAATAAAACTGTAAAAAGTGCTTTCCATAATAAAAAAAAACATGGTTTCCACCACATTTTAAAGTAAAACTCCAATTATCCAACATTAAAGTACCTTAGAGGCTGTTTGTCTCAGTTAAACAGTTTGTAAAAGATGATATCGCAAATCCCAGAATTACTCACCTCTGTTTGTCGCTGTCATTTTAGGTAATTAACATGTTTACAGGCACCAGTTCAGAACTTTAAAGGGGACCTATTATGCAAAATTCACATTTTCTCTTTGATTTGGATCTCAACTTCTTAAAACAGTCCAAGTGCTTAAAAAAATAATAAACAAAAAAACACCCAGCTGTGTCTGGAAAATTAGCCATTTCAAAAACATCCCAATTCTTAAGTCACAAAGGGTGCTGCACCGTTACCTAGCAACCTCAGCAGAGTTTCGCTCATCACCTAGCAACCAGCGCCACGCTCCAGCACTTCTGATCAACTGGTTTTACTGCTGCATGCACTGTACAATGGCTGCTGAAAAATACATTTTTTTGTTGTTGACTTACCATCATGTAACCACTTTCTGGCTTCTTGCTGGTTGTGCGGGAGGCTCTACTAACGCTTTTCAAAGAGGTATGGTTCTATAATTGTGCATCTGTTTGCAGCCATTTTCATATATGACTCCAAATGTTGAGCTTATTTGGAAGTGACAAGAGTACCTAAAACAGCTCAAAATAGGCAGAACTTACCAGACTAAAATCTCATTATCTAAGAGAGATTTTATGTAAAAAAATGAACATTTTTTGTGCAGCCCATAAAACTATCCTAATATGTTGAAGGAAGCATAATAGGTCACCTCTGAAGTTACAGTTGAGTTTGGAAAGGGTTCACCAGCCGGCATAGACTGGTTCTGAGTCGCAGGGCAGGCCGTAGTACCGACCCTGAGGTCGCTCTTTGCGCAGTAGAGGAGCCCGGGCGACCGCCAGCTCTCCGTCAGAGTCCCGCCGTCGACGAAGAACCAACAAAATAATGAGGAGTAAGGCCACTGAAGAACAGAGACAGGAAGTGATCAATCAAAGATTGCACTGATGTTACAGCATGACTCTGATTATTCATTTTGTTTTAACTTCAAACAGCTGACTGTGCCGCATTTAGTCATAAGATCGAGTTACGTATGAAGATAAAACAAGAAAAGAAGAAATGTGTTCTGATATCACCACTTCT